ATTTTAAAATGTAATCTAAAGATCTTTGTTCTTCTTCTTATGTTTGCTTTACTTTTCTATACATGAAACTAAATTTCGCTGACAACAAAAAATTTCGTGACTATTGTAAATGACTGTCATTATATTAAATAAGATGAAAATGTCTTTTTACATCTTTTATAATAATTCTCATGATCTTATAAGGTAACAGCGTGGAATGATAAAAAATGTACTTTAGTCTATTTTTAAACTTTAGCAATATGAACAAAGCATGTAGATATTTTTGATATATGATGTATACTGTGTTAGAAAGCATTTCGAATTAAGAAGATACATTATTAGAATGAACACATTTGGAAAAAGTAAGACAAGGAGGGTCAAGATTTCTTCCTGGATAAAAAGTAAGCTATTTCTTTTACAAAAGTAAATTTTGGTTCCTAACTAGCATCTCTAAAAGTTCATCTAAACTTTTTACTAATGCATATGCATATCTTTATTTTAATATATGTATTTAAAGATAACTCTAACAGCACTTAGTTTTTGCTTCCTAACTTATTTTTTGTTTCACATATCTTTTGTCTTTTTTAATAAAAAATTATTTCTATTATGACATGAATCCATTCATGTCATATACAGTACTTAGATATTACACCTCTCTAATCCTTAGAAAACACATCTGCAGTCCCAAGAAAATACTGGTATTTATTTCCTTGACTTCAACAATCATGTTGAGGATTACAAATATGTAATGCATAAGTACTATATATATGTGTGTGTGTATATATAGGCATATTACATGTATGTGTTTGTGTATATATACATATGTGATAAATCATGTTTTATATGTGATATATATGTGTTTTTGTGTGTGTATGTATATATACATAAAATATTATTTCTAAGATACAAATAAGAACCCAGAATCAGAATAAAGGTGTGGTCTTATGTTAATGGTAGAGATGGAGTTTATGCTGGGCAAAGAAAGTAGTGGCTTATTCTGAAGGATTCAGGAAAAGTTTCATCAAAGGAGTGCTTGAATTAAATCACGAGAAAATGAATAGAAGCTCATGAGCTGAGCGGATTGTAAGACAAGGTCATTTTAATGGGAGTAATATAAGGCTTAGAAGGAAGCAAAGTTAATAAATGTGTACTCAGCATATACTGTTTCAGACACTGGACATATACATGCAAATAAATCACATGCGACTCCCCTTAAGGAAGCTACAGTATAGTGTGGATGAAGAAAAAGTTTCAGATGGAATAGAATATTCCATGGGAGAGGTAGAGAACCTTATAGTGTAGATATTTAGGAGAAATCGGCATCCAAGTGACAAGTTAACTTGGATAACTTGTGACTGGATAAAGTAGTCAATGAAGATTAATAAGAATAAGATCAAGAAGTAGGTGAAAAACAGAATATTCTGTAACCACATGTGGTGGCTCACGCCTATAATCCCAGCAGTTTGGGAGGCTGAGGAAGGCTGATCGCTTGAGGTCAGGAGTTAGAAACCAATCTGGCCAACATAGTGAAACCTCATCTGTACTAAAAATACAAAAATTAGTTGGGTGTGGTAGTGGGCACCTGTAATCCCAGCTACTTGGGAGGCTGAGGCAGGAGAATCGCTTGAACCCAGGAGGCAGAGCTTGCAGTTAGCTGAGATCACACCAGCGTACTCCAGCCTGGGCAACAGAGCAAGATTCCATCTCAAAATATGTAAATAAATTTAAAAAACATAAAAATTGCTGGATGCCCCATTCTCTGTTAATTGGTGAGCTCAGTATTAGTAGTTCCTTTTCTTACTGGGCCCTGAAAGCAGAGACTGTTTGCCAAAATCTTCGTAATACTACTGTTTGATGATATATTATTTCAAATTATACATTTGAATATGCTACAAAGCTCTCCATTTAATATAAAATTTCGTTCCTTCCTGAAACCATATTATGAATTATTTGTGCTGATAGCAGCTTCTCTCCAAAATATATGCTCTGTCCAGTATTGACACATTATATTAGGTGGAGTCCATGTAAAGAAAATATAGTGATTTAACCATTTCCTATAAGTTTCAAATTGTATGAGTGGATAATAGATTTGTATTTACCTATTCTATACATGGTTCTCATCTATAGTTATGTAACTAGGATTCATTGAACAAATTTCTTATAAAGGTTTTACAATTTCCCTTCCTTTAAGAGTGACCCAAATGATGTATTTAGAAAGTCAATAGGGATCTTAAATTTCATACTGGATTCATTTCCACTTCAGGAACTTAGGAAATTACTTTTGTTTTTAAAGGATTTTCCATCCTTATTTTCATGTCTATCTAGCAAGGTAGAATGTTTTGCTTTGTCATTCATTTTATTTTATATGAAACCACTCTAATTTAAATGAATTGTGACAATTTTCCCTGATGCCCTATTTACCTTATTTGCTATCTGGATATTCAGTATTTATGACTAAGACATAGTGAATGTTCATTAAATATTTGTTGAATGGACAATGGAATTAGTATTTGTCTTAAATTATAGATCCCAATTTCATATATGACCCATTGTCTAGATAAACATGTGAGCCTCTTTTCATAGATATGTTCTTTCAGTGTGACCTCACACACAGGCCAGGTGTGTAGGAATAAGACAACAATATCCCTTCCCATGAGTATTTGGAATTGTCACCAGTAGCATTCAGTTTCTCTGTTAGGTAGTTTCTTGACTACTCCACCACACAGCCATCTTTGTCTTGTGCTTTGAACATCAGAGCTGTGCAGATAGAATGAAGCCAACACACTGAAACAGGTACAAAGAGTAGAAAAAGACAATACTTACCCCAAATAGTAATTTGGGGAGCCATTCATTTCCATTTCCCGTTCTGCTTCTGAAGACTGACTGTATTCTAGCCATTTCTAGCTCTACTCTTGCAACTTTATGGTAATTTCCCCCTTATACTAGAAAGATTGTTTTTTACTATACTAAAATGCCTTGTCTAGTACATCTCCTGAGATTTCAAGAACACAGCAAAAGTAAGCCTTTGTAATTGGATTGGAGATGTACTTTTAAATAATTTTAATGTTTTGTAGATACTTTCCTTAATTTTTGTTAGATACATTTTGTTGAAATGCTTTTAAATGCATTCTTTTCAAGACACTTTTATTATCGCAATCTTGATGCTTATCTCTGTAAACACCTTTCATGCCAGCTTTCTTGTAATCTCCAGTTTTTGCATTTCTTTTTGGGAAAAGAAATCCAGTTCACTATGTTTAACATTCAGCTCCTGAGGAACCACATCTCTGGCTAGAAAAAGGCCCTAAAACTTATTTATTATGTATTTTATCACCATCACAAGGTTAAGACATATAATAGAAAGCAGCAAGGCATAAAAACCACAGATTTTGTGCTATTGTCTTACACTTCGTGAACTCTTGAAAACAAGGCAAAATGTAGTAAGTAATGGGAATGAACTATCAGACCTTTTACCCTCATTAGAATTCTTGGGAGCTTTCT